TTACTGTTCATATTCATGGATGAGTAAGAGTTCATGACCGAATATTGGATAGAGAAGACACCTAAGATAAAATGGAAAACTTTGATTATATACACCTTTAAAGTTTTTCCATAAATAAATTCAAAGCAGCTAAGATTGGAAGGAAGTCTATGAACTGGAAAAATGTCTTTGCAGCAAATTTCTGTGGGGGTGGGGAGAATGGGAAGGAGAAAAAAATGAATGTTTGATCATTGAAAAAAAGAAATGTAACCGAAAATGTGAAAATTACAACTTATTTGTATTTCCATAGTTTTGGAAAACTCTGACTTTAAAAATATTGAAATGAAATATATGAATTCAATCAATTCAATTCTATGAAAGAGGGGTTTATCACAAATCTTTTGAAATATTAAAGAATACAGTTATTTAAACACAGCTATCCTTGACTGGCTACGCAACTATCTAGAAAGGTCAAGAGTCTATGGAAGCACACAGCTATACCCCACAGTCAAGGATTCTGAACCTGGGGTCAGAGTGTCCATGCTTTAGGTGTGGAAAAAAATTATGTCTTTATCGTCACTAACCTCTGACTAAAATTTAGCATTTCCTTCCATTATGAATATAGGCAACAAACCTCAGTGGAATGAGTAGTTAATCTGTGACTTTGTCACTAATAGAAAATATTACAAATATTTTCATATCACATTTACGGTTGTTGCAGAGATTTCAAAATATCTTCTATGCTCATCACTACTTCAATTTACTGTAGTTATTAGACCCACTGCTAAATTGCCAACAGTCTTCTTGTCTACGGACTATTTCATTTGATTTCTTTTATAGTCGTCTGTATTTTATTTTATGCATTTAAAAACATTATTGGGAGAAGGGGTTTGTAGGCTTTCCCAAACCACCAAGGGATCCGTAACATGAAAAAAGCTTAAAAGCTCTTGATCTAGGTGCTTCTTGTTTCCCTAGTAATGACAACAAAAGTTTATCTTGTACATAACATGTGCTAGGGGCTGGGTAAAGTGCTGGGAAGACAGACCAGCAAAATAGTCCAATAGGAACTCCCAATCTAATGAGGGACAGGCAAACTATGTACACAGGGACTGAAGGCAGTGTAAATTGGGGGTGATCTCAAAGGGAAGGCACTAGCATTTGGCACAGCCAAGCCTGAAACTCACTCTGCAAAAAATGCCCCATGTTCTGAAACATAACCTTGGGTGATAGATGAAATGAGAATCGGGAAACAGTGGGAGGGAGCCTGGGGAAGCCAGGAGAGATGTCTGTTCCCTCTGCATGCAAAAGGCTCCCATTCTGAGTCAACAGAAGCACTCGTTTTTCAATCTCTGGCTGGGAAGAAGGTCCTTTGGGAGAAAGGCAAAGGACGCCTCACCCTAGGCTAAAATTCAAAGGTGTTGTTCAGTTGTGTCCAATTCTTTGTGACCCCATTTGGGGTTTTCTTGGCAAAGATACTGGAGTGGTTTGCTGTTTTCTCCTCCTACACATTTTATAGATGAGGAGCTTGTAAGTGTCTGAAGTCACATTTGAACTCAGGAAGATGAGTCTTCCTGACTTGGAGCCAGGCTGGTGCTCTATGCACTATGGCGCCACCTAGCAGCCAAAAATTCCAAATACTTGCCTTTTATTTAGAGCTGACCTTCAAGCAGTCTAATCTTCCCCATCCCCAAACCTTCTCTTAACTTTCCCAAGTGCTTTTTTGCTCCTTAATATTGTTGTTGTCGACCCTTTGTTACCCCATTTGGGGTTTTCTTGGCAGAGATACTGGAGTGGTTTGCCATTTCCTTCTCCAGCTCATTTTACAGATGAGGAAACTGAGGCAAACATAGTTAAGTGACTTGCCCAGGGTCACATGGCTAGTAAGTGTCTGAGACTGGATTTGATTGTTCCTTAATATAAATGAATATCTAACTGATGGTATTTGCCAACATGGAGGGAGAGATTTGGGTTGCCAAGGTAAAACTGAAAATTGATTTTAATTTGATTTCTAAAACAGTCAATCTGGCATAGGTTAGTACTGTCTTCCACTGTATGAGTCTAAACTCCTTTCCCTTGAAATTAGCCTGTCACCTACATTCTGGAGAAACTTGCCTAAAGGTCAAGTTTGCCTCTTATAACTACCTCCAGCTTTCCTCAGATAGCCTCTGGTCATTTGAGTCTCAAGTCTATAAATTTAGTTTGTTTCTCCAACCCCACATTCAGATTGATTCAATGAAAGCTACAGACTACACCCAAGTCTGCTGACTACTCCCATCACCTGAAGATCACTCCCGTCTCATTTATATTCCCTATCAATGGGAACAAATTTGCTAAGTTTGTCTCCCTTTTGTTTGACTTTGACTTCAATTTTGTTTTCATTGAAATAAGTAGACCTATTTACCTCAGAGTTTACTCAAAAATGTCCAATAAATTTGCTTGGCTCCCATCCTCAGATGTTGAATTCAAATATATGAATTCAATTAATTCAATTCTATTAAGGTCTATGAAGGAGGGGTTGATCATAAATCTTTTGAAATATTAAAGAGTATAGTTATTTAAAGACAGCCATCCTTGACTGGTTAAGCACCTGTCTGGAAAAGTCAAGAGTCTGTAGAGAGGAAACTAAGGAAAACAGGGATAAATGACTTGCCTAGGGTCATACAGCTAGTATGTGAGGCCAGATTTAAACTGAGGTCTTCCTCACTCTAGCTACCCTACAAAGGTAGAGGATTATAATTATATTGTTTTATATTATATATGTAATTTGTATTGTTATATTATATTTATATAATTAAAATGATAACACAAAAGCTTGACCTTTAGGCAAGTATGTGGGGGGTGGGTGAAGTTTACAAGGAGAAGGAATCAGGAAAGGGAATGTTACATCTAGCTTAAGTCTTAGCAAAATAGAATTAAAATCAATTTTTAATTTTACAAGTGATTAGGAAATTTGAGGCTCAGCAAAGTGACATGAGTTACCTAGTAAAGTGAGTATTCAGGTCTTCCAATCCCAGAGCCAGGCCTTCTACATGGAGCTTTAGGGTTCAAGGGGTTCTCCTTGAGGGGTTGGGAAATGTCTTTCTCTACTTCTGTTGCCTTGAGCTCCCATTCTAGTGTAGTTCCTCAACTGACTGTGACTAGGCCTCAGTTCCACTTAACATCTACTTAATATCATTTCGTAGAAAAGGATATTTATTTTGAAGATCTAACAAGAACAAAAATACAAACATTTCCCCCTGATACTTGAGGTACAGCCTTTCCTATCCCACCTCAGTCTCTGGAGAGAGTAAACAAATTTAGCACAATTTCTATATAAGATTAATACTTCTAAGTTCATGTCAAAATGTAGACTTGGCATGGCTGAGTCATAGCTCAGCCACCCCTGTGCTTGGGTCCTGAAGGTTACTCCTCAGGCCATGATGCTGGGCTGGTTGCAAAACTCAGCATGGAGTGTAGTTAGAAATCTCAGACTTCAGATGGTTCACTTTCCTGATCTTTTGACATTCATAAGGTTGTAGCCTCCGATATGTCTTTAGTGTATAAAAGCTACAGGAAATAGGCAAAGAACTGGGACCCACAAGGTCACATGTTGATGTTGGAGGAAGTGCCTTCTCTTTATATCACTGACTGTCACTGGAAGCCATCAACCAGAAAGAATTCACACAAAGAACCAAACCAAGAGAAGAGACTGGAACTCTCGTGTCTTTTGGATACATCCCCAGCCAGTCCAAAATCTCTTCCTCACCATGTGATTACCAGACTGGAATCAGTGACAGAATATCTTTGTGTGCTTCAAAGTCTCTCTAAGGAACTTCTGTTATATATATCCTCATGACTTTCCTGGAAGCTGGCTTCTTCCACATAGAGAATTACATTAGCAGCACTCTGCATACTTATAAGAACTAGACTTAGTGGCCAGTCCCTCATTATACTCATATCACATAGTATCAGAGACAAGATTTGAACCCAGGACTGTCACCAAGCCCCATACCCTTTTCATTATGCCACATTGCTTCTTGAGAGAGCATAAAATCTTGGAATGTCAGAGGTGGGAAGGTACTTAACAGAGGCAAAGAAAAGATCTCCCTGATCTTTGCCCCTGGATGAAGGGTGGCAACTCTTGATCTTTGCCCTGGATGGGGGGCAATTCCTGTAATCTACAGGAGGGTGCTGCCTCCATCCTGTCCCAGATTTAACACTCTGTCCTCCCAAGATCCAGTCCAACCTGTTCCATTGTTCACCTGAGTGTTGCAATATAAGCCAGTGGGTCTTTAGCCTTAAGTCATAGGATTCTAGATTTAGTGCTAGAAGGGACCTGAGAGTTTATCTTCCCCCTCATATGCTTGTTGACTTTCCTCATTTGCCTTTGCACAGACTGTACCCTCTCCCCCTTCCTTCCCCCTATACCCCATGTGCTGCCATGCTCTCTATCCTCACCTCCACCTCTTGGAATCTGTGGCTCTTCTTTTTTTTTTCTGGCAATTGGGTTTAAGTGACTTGTCCAGGGTCACACAGTTAGTAAGTGTCATGTTTGTTTGGTCTGAGGCCGTATTTTGAATTCAGGTCCTCCTGACTTCAGGGCCAATGCTCTATCCGCTGCACCACCTAGCTGCCCCACTGTGGTTCTTTTTTTTTTTTTGAGGGTCATAAGTCGGCATTTATTATTTAAGTTGAGGCACAGGTTATGAATGGGGTGGGGGGGAGGCCTAGGGGAGAGGGAAGAAAGGAGGAGACAGGGAGACGAGAGCCTCTCCTTTGTGTCTGCTCCCGACGGGGCTGATCCAGATATCTGAGCCTTGGTCCAGGGCACACAACGAAGCACAAGATAAGATGAGGTTCCAGGGGCTACAGGTTTAGGAGACATCGAGGGGTGGCCCTCCAACCAGAGGTGGGGGCTGGGATTCTCCTTGGATCAGCAGCACCGCTTCCTTTCAGAAACTGCAGTATAGCGATAAGTTCCATCGCACTTATTTCAGCTCTTAGGAGACATTCTTGTGAAGTCTTTGTGCTAATGAATGTTTTCATCGCCTCTCTAGCTTCCTGTACTTTGCTTCTAGTTTCTTTGAATACGCATCCAACGTGTAAGCTGCCTGCTCCAGAGCTGCTGCTTGCTCCTCACTTAAAGTGATCTGATCCAGACAAGGCTGAAGGGCCGCATATCTCTGGTTTAAGTCCTTTAGGTTTCCACTTAGGTTTACTGCAACATCTTTCATTTCTAGATACTTCAAGCTAGTCAGTTTGTTCATATTTTCCAGAAGTTTATAGTCTTCACTGGTGGCTGTCAGCTCGCCAGTTAGGTACGTGGCCATTTTGGAGAACATGTCCTGGCACAGCCCCGTGATGTCCGCCTCGGCGGGCTCCGTGGCCTCCTCAGCCATCTCCGCCACGGCATTGTCTAGGCTGGGGAAGGGAAGAAGGAGAAGGAAGGGGGATGGGGGAGGGGAGGGGAAGAAGGGGAGAAAAGGGGAAGGGTGAAGAGTCGGAGAAGGAGGTAAGGGGAAGGGGCCCCCTGTGGCTCTTCTTAAAGTCTCTGCTCAAGCGCATCTCCTTCAAGAGGCCTGTCCTGGAGTTGGGGTAGGGGCAGAAGCCTTTCCTCATTCCCTTAGTCATGCCACATCCCCTTGATAACTGTTTAGGGGTTGAGGGAGACAAGGATTGGAGGAAATGAAGAATTCAGTTTTCTATACATGGAGTTAGAAGAGGTGGTAGAAAGGGCTTTGAGTCCAAGGATCTGGCTTTGAATCTTAACTCAGCTACCATTCCATTTCAGCTATGGACTACTGAGTCACATTCTGGTGGGGTCTTACCAGCAGGCACTTGAAGGGGTCAAGGGCTTTTGCAGTTGTTATAGCCCAGGAGGTCCAACTTCTTGTCCCTTAGACTTCTTGTCCCCCACTCTTGGAGGCTAGAATCACAAAAGGAATATATTCTATACCAGAGGTTCTTAATCTTGTGTCATGGCCTCCTTCGGCAGTGCTGTAAATGTCATTGTTGTTGAGTCATGTCCAACACTTTGTGACCCCTTTTTGGGGTTTTCTTGGCAAAGAGACTGGAGTGGTTTGCCATTTCCTTCTCCAGCTCATTTTACAGATGGGAAACTGAGGCAAACAGGGCAAAGTGATTTGCCCAGGGTCACACAGCTAGTAAGTGTCTGAGGCCAGATTTGAACTCACAAAATGTTCAGTCCTTTTTCAGCCATGTCTGACTCTTTGTGGCCTCATTTAGGGTTTTCTTGGCAAAGATCCAGGTTTGCCACTTCCTTCTCCAGCTCATTTTACAGATGAGAAAGTGAGGCAAACAGGGTTAAGTGACTTGCCCAGGGTCACACAGCTAGTAAGTTTCTGAGTTCAAATTTGAACTCAGGTCTTCCTGACTCCACTTAGTCACCTGTTGCCACCTAGCTGCAGTAAATAGCTAGCATTTATTAGGGAACTTTTAGGTTTGCCTTGTTTTACAGATTCTATTTCCTTTCACCCTCATGACAACTTTTAGGTGCTGTTATTATCTCCATCATACAACTTAAAAAAACAAAACAAAACTGAGATAGACAGAGTTTATGTGATTTGCCCAGGATACACAGCTATTCGGTGTCTGAGGGAGGATTTGTATTCAGGTATCTCTGCTCTCCATTATCACAAACTTCCAGAAGTAAGCTTACCAAACATCTTCCTGGTTCCTCTGTTCATGCTCCCAGGACCGGACCTTCATTATCTAGTCCTCCATTATAACTGCATAATAAATTCAACATATAACTTTCAAAGCTACCCCGCTAGTAGGAGATTCTGTCCTCTTCTGTGCGTTAAAATATGTGTATATACATACATAACACATTTGGGTATGTATACATGTATACATACAATATACACACATATGTATACACACATATGATATAAAATCCTCTCTCTTTTTGGGGGCCGACTCTATCGCTGTCCCTTCCTTCCTCATAGCTCCTCCTTCATTGAAAAGATGAACTCTGTAACAAATATGAATAACCAAACAAAAAAAATCTTCACATTAGTGTTATCTAAAATTTTCTATTTCATACTGCAACTTGCGGCTATCGCCTCCGCCCGGAGGTGTGTGGCACGCTTTATCTTTAGCCTTCTGGGATTGCAGTTGGTTGCTAACTGCTTTGACTGGCATTTCGTCAGGATTTCTGCTTAGTGCAGTTGAGCACACAGCTGCCACTAGATAAATGTTTGCTGAATCGAAATGAATTGTAATTTTGTTTCCTCAGTTAGCAACTGGGGAAACATTGTAACCAGATAGCAGCGGCTTGGAGAAATTCAGCGTAAAGACTTTAAACTCAGCGGGTTTACGTAAAGGTCTGAATCGTCTTGCATGCATTAATTAACACAAAGGCTAAGACTTCCGACTCCCTCCACCCCAATCAGAAGAGTCCAGGTCACAGTCTTAAGTGATTACACCTCGCAGCCTCCCGGCCCAGCGGCGAGCACGGGCGTGGCCCCAAATGCGCATGCCCCACGGCCAACGGAAGACGTAGGAGGAGGGGGCGGGGTTTAAAAGCCGGCCTCTCCCGTGTCGCGGCGGCTTTTGTGGGCGGGCCCGCGCGCGCTCGCGAGATTTGGGGGCGGAGCAAGGGGGCGGGGACAGGAGGAGTCGCTCTGAAGGGGGCCTGCGGAGGTAGGGGTCGCCCGGGGTGAGGAGGCGGCGGCGTCTAGGAGGCGGAAGTGAGCCCGGGCCGCCCCGGCAGAAGCTGTGCGTGCGTGGAGACGGCTCCGGCTCCGGCTCCGGCCCCGGCGTCGTGAGGGAGCCCGCGCCTTCCCCTGGTCCCCTCCGCGGCGGCGGCCATGGCTAAAGGCAGGGTCGGGGAGCGGGCTGAGGAGGTGGCGGCGGCCCCAGCGGGGCCGCGGGACCCCCCGGACCAGGCCCTCGGAGACTCCCTGGAAGGTGAGGCGGTCGCCCGGCTCCCCGAGGGTCCGAGCTGGAGGCTGGAGGGGTGGGGAGCGAGCCGGTAGCCGGGGAGGAGGGAGAAGCCAACTGGGAGGATCTGTCAGTCAGTCGACAAACATCGCCGGATACCGCGCTGGGGGCGAAGTGTCGCGGGTGCAGAGGCGCACCAGCAGGAGCAGCGTGAGCAGGAGGGGGTCAGGGGCCTGAAGACGAAGTCCCTGGAGGGGACGAGGCTGATCCTCCCCCCGAGTCCTACAGAAAACGTAGGACCCTGCCGTGGTCTCGAGCGTAGTCCTCTCCTTATGCAGAGGAGCAAGCAGCGGAGGCCCAGAGAGGGTAGGCGTGAGCACCCCGAGGTCCCTTGCACAGGCAGAGGCGGGATTCTATTCCATTCCCTCCGGACACTAAACTTCATGTTTTCTGCACTTCCCCAGGCTCCCTGGTATTGGAATGGGAGGTGACTCTGTGTGGGTTATCTCTAAGGCACTTTGCTGGGATACAAAGGAAAGCAAAAAACAATACAGCCCCTGCTTTCAAGTTGCTCCCTGTCTGATGGGGGAGATGACATGCAAACCCCTATGTGCAAACAAGAGTCTTAGTGCCGTTTTAAGCTTTAATAGCTATGTGGACCGCCATGTATAAATAACAGACCCACAGGGAAGGCGTTAAGGTTAAGGACGACCAGAAAAGCCTTCTTCCAAAAACCATTTTGGTTTTCGTCTTCGAAACCCAGCTGTCTATGTCCAGCACAGGGCCTGGCACATCGTAGGTAGTTAGTCAAGTTAGCAGGCATATATTAAGAGCCATCTATATGCCAGGCCCTGTGCTAAGCACCGGGGATACAAAGAAAAGGTAAACTAGCCTCCCCCCCAAAAAAAACCAAAACAAAACAACCGAAAAACCTACAATAACTCTAGTCCCTCCGTGCTTTTAGGGAGCTCACAGTCTATGCTTATTGAACAAATGAAAATCTGATTTTAGATATGAGATTGGCTCTCCTGGTCATTAAATTTTTTCCAGTCTAGGCAGCTTTTGTTGCCAACTAAAGTGTTTAGTAATCTGTATAAGAAGCTAGTTTTATTTTGCTTAATTGCCTTTTCTGTAACTTGAGCCTGTTTAGGAATGATTGGTCTGTACATAAAACATCTTAAGTTTGTAGTGTCAAACTATTATTATACAGGAGCCAGGTTTTTTTACATGCCTAAATAATGACCCTAGATAATAAATATTTTGAATCTAGCTTGGCATGGACTAGTCATTTCTGCCCATCAGTCAAAAAAAATGATTAGGCTTCTAAAAACTCTTAAAACCTATTCATTTGAAGTGGTCAAAAGAAGTAGACGTTAAGTATACTGGCCATTCAGGTAAATTTAAATGTTTTCTGTGTTATCCTGGCACTGATGAGTGAAGAGAGGGTTGGCCATGTTCATGAACTACATTACTGTTAGTCTTGTATATATGAAGAAGAGATGTTAGTGTTAATATTAATCACTCTTTGTGGAGTGTTGTGCTAGAGAATAGGGGAACATACAGTCCAGTAGAGGGAAAAGGCACAAATACATAATATTGCATATTGTAAGTGATTAGAGAGTTGTAAATCATAGTGCTACCTGAGTTCTGAAAACCAAGGTTGATGGTGTCAGGGAAGGCTTTCTCGACTAGGCTATAGGTGCTTTGTGGGAAGCTTTGGAAAGGAGAAGTTGACACTCATCCAAAGAGAGGAGAGCCACAGAACACTGAGATTGTAAAGAGACTTCAGAGTAGGAGAGTGCTGTTCTTGTTCCCAATGCAGAAAGAAAACCAGTTTGACTGGAGGTGGAGTGGTTCGAGGGACAATAGTATCAAAACCAATTTCCACTCAGTACTCGCATGAAGACTTCTCTTTGGTTTGAGACCACAGTTGATATTTGAAGAACCTGTTTTTGAGAATGTTGTGACTTCATCTCTATGCCAAAATTAAATATTTTAGTGACACCTATTACGCTTCCACCAAAATTCTACTCCATCGCCTTTCACAGGTGACTGTCCACAGAGCTCTAGCACTTTTGAGATATTTCCAAGCTGGAAAAACCTTGAATATTTATGGCTCAGCAACAGATAACTATCCTAGCTAAGTTTGGAGAAGCTTATACTCAGAAGGCACCCTACCAGGTGTTGAATTTTGATTGGCCACAGCAGCTCATCTCAATGTTGTCTGTCTACCCTGATGTAGAGAGAATGCCGTTTACATTGGTGAAGTGTGTATCAACATTAATTAAAAATACAGGATCCTTGAAATACTGTATTGAATTAGGTATATATTAAGAACTGACTTTCTTCTGAAGGAAGTTTTACAGTTTTGTTCATCAGACAGAGATATACATGAGATGGGTTTTTTTTTGTCCTGACTTATTTCATTAGTGTAGGGAAGTCATTGGTGAAGAGACTTCTTTTACCACTGTAGATCAGCATATCTTACCAACTTGAAATCTTAGAGGCACTGTGTGTCACATAGGCCCATATGTGCTAGAGGAGATACTTGAACTCAGATCTTCTGGCTTTGACGCAAGCTTTCTGTCTGTTAAACCATATTGCCTCTTATATGTAAGATAATAAAAATGCAAGGCAACATGATGAGTTTTCAAAATGAGTGTTGTCTGCATTTCAGCTCAGAGGAAGATGAGAGCATCAGTTGAGGCTAAGTAGAGGCATAAGGAGGAGAAGGAATTTGAAGGAGGGATAGATTTTCTGTAGGGCAGAGAGGAGAATTGTGGCTTTAAAACTCTCTATGTAAGGAAGGTGGGACCAGCAAAATGGAGACTTGAGTGAATGTTGAAGAGACTAACTTGTCAGAGTAGTGGTGATATAGGAGGTTGGGTAGAATAGGATGGCACCAAATTGTGGAACATCGTGGATTGCGCCACCTAGCTGCCCGCTTTTCTGTCCATGAGATCATAGGTTTAGAGCTAAAAAGAAACTTAAGAGATTCAACCCCTTCCTGTTATAGAAGAGGAAGCTATAGGCTAGAGAGGTTAGGCAACTTGCCCAAAGTCATAAAGGCAGCTCTGAGTCTGGAATCAGGAAGACCTGAGTTCAGATTTGATCTCAGCCATGTACTAGCTGTGTCACCTCGGACTTAACCATATTTGCCTCAATTTCTCATCTGTAAGATGAGCTGAAGAAGGAAATGGCAAACCTCTCCAGTGTTTTTGCCAAGAATACCCCAAATGGGGTCATAAAGAGTTCAACTGACTGAAAGGACTCAGCAACAATGTCATATATTCAGTAAGTATTTGATGCAGAATTTGAACCCAGATGGGTGGTTTTGACACATATCAGGGAGCCATTGAAGTTTTGTAAGAGTGATAGGATTTAATGGTGGGTGCAGAATAAATGGAGGAGGTTATAAGAGTCCAAGTATGCGGTGATCAGGGACTAGACTAGAGTGGACTCCTGTTCTTCATTGTTGCTTGCCATCTTGGTCTGTTTCCTGGCACTTATTTCATTGTAGTCGCATTCTGAGTTAGGGAAGTGGTTGAGGGAGTGTAATTGTTTTGAGAAAACAATATTTTGGACCTCTGATAAATTTCTTTTTTTAGTCCATTCAGGGTTCTGTCCTATTAGTGGAGAAAGACTCTGAATGATGAGAATAAGCTTGAGAAGAAACTGGATTCTTAAGATTTGGAAGAGAGAATTATTGTGAAATGATTATGTGTTTCTGTTTTTTGTTTTTGGCTAGGCAATGGGGTTAAGTGACTTGCCCAAGGTCACACAGCTAGTAAGTGTTAAGTGTCTGAGGTCGGATTTGAACTCAGGTCCTCCTGACTCTAGGGATGGTGCTCTATCCACTGTGCCACCTAGCTGCCCCCTTGATTATGTATTTCTTAACCACACAACAACACTTTTTTCATTTGGAGCCACTTTGTGATCTAAGAGATTTTAGTCCAGGCTGCAGTGATTTGAATGGGACTCCAAGAAGTAAAATCTTCAGTTGGTTGGTGAGGACATAGTGTTTGGGCTATTTTCTATTCATCATCACTTACTGGGAGTCCAGAGTAGTAATGGGGTTCACAAGGCCAGGACAATGTGCATTACATTGATAAGTCTTTTGTGGATAAGTAATATTTCTTGCCAGATGTTCGTCTTTGATTATTCTCCTGTTGGTTTTGTGTGGTTCTCTTGGGCCAGATGGATTACATCCATGTAAGTAACTGTCTCTATCAGATTTTGGGATCGAAGTGATGTTTCAC